TAAGGGTTTTCTTGGTTTTGTAAAGTTATTTCAGCCATTTGTTTGGTTATATATTCTACTGTTTGTTCTGGAGTGTAAGTCCCTCCTGATTCTCCTTGGGTATATATTTCTTGCGGTGTAAATAAATATTTCATTCCAAGTGTCAGATCCCATTTTTGTAATTCATAAGAAAATTCGGGGTCATTATTACGTTTTTGTTGGAGGAGGAGAAGAAAATCATGGGCTTGAAATTCACGAAGTAACATACGATCAGTATCAATCAGATCATACATGTCTTTAATTACCCACGTCTTTGCGGCTGGTCCGTATTTTACTATAAGCAGAGATTGGATTTGTGGTATCGAAATTCCTGCTTTTTTCAAAGTAAAAATTTCCTCCTTAATAAATATTGTATTTCGCGGTTGCTAGGCGAAATGTGCATAAGTTGGGGCGGAATAAGTTGATGATTATGTCATAGATCAACTTGGGAAATATAATATTTGTCATCTTCTAGATTATGATTAAGACGAACAGACCAGGGGCAGTTGCATTTTTTTGATACTTTATTTCTGCCTTTCTTGGTCAGATCTTTTCTAGATTTATACACACCAGAGCGATCGCAGGCAAAAACTTGAGTAGTGTGCAAGCCATCGCTACGATTGTTACCCTTTAAGAAAATCACTTTAAATCCGCTTGCTTCAGCGTATTGATTAGAAATATATTTAAAGGCCTCAAGAGAGGCATAATCCTGGCTATGCTGAAAAAGCGACTCTAATGGGGATTCAGGTTCTAGTGGAGATTCAGGTTCCAGTGGAGATTCAGGTTCCAACGGGGATTCAGGTTCCAACGGGGATTCAGGTTCTAATGGGGATTCAGGTTCCAACGGAGATTCAGGTCCCAACGGGGATTCAGGTTCCAACGGGGATTCAGGTCCCAACGGGGATTCAGGTCCCAACGGGGATTCAGGTCCCAATGGGGATTCAGGTCCCAACAGAGACTCAGGTTCCAACAGGGACTCAGGTTCCAATGAGGCTTCAGGTTCTAATGGGGCTTCAGGTTCCGATAAAGCTTCGGATTCAGATAAAATCTCAGAGTCCAATATGTGCTCGGGTTCTGGTTCTTAAAATATCAATAATGGCTATTAGTCTTTACATAAAACATTGTATACAGTAGAGTTGGCCCCGAAACCACGTGATGCTAATTTGTCACATGCTATTACTTATAAAAAATTGACGATCTATTTTGATTTTTATAAGTAATAGCATGTGACAAATTAGCATCACGTGGTTTCGGGGCCAACTCTAGTATACAGTGTTGGCATGCGATGTATGTCTAATGCTAATACTCCCTGTATAATATTAAACGATTAAAACTTACCAAGAATAAGTCGTGCTTGAGGCGCTACTTCTATTTGTATGTTGGCCATTATTACTACGATTTTTCTTTAAGTCCAAAGAACTTTGGTTTGGAATTTCGTTGCTTTTTAAGTCGTAAAAGGTTTGGCTTCTTCGTTTGTTTAATTACCAATGAATGTTGGTTTAATTTTATACAATCACTAATGAACTTATGGTTCTTGTTAGGTAAATAGGTTCAAAAGTTCAAGAGATTAAAATTTTTTTTTTTTTTTTGGGTTTAACCCGTATGTACGTTATACGTAACAAAATTTAATGTTTAGTTTATTTTACTGAGTGTTTATATCTAGGTTCGGTTTAAAGAGAGGCAACTACTTTCTCTGATTTCTTTACAAAGAGTAACAGCTTTAAATCACTTTTTTTTTTTGATGGTTTTGTTATTGTATATTTGAGGGCGTTAGTGTAGAGAAAATTCTAAAATTCTTTGTTTTGGTATGTAGCACACAATGATAATTGTATATACGTACGTACGTACGTATGCATGTACGACGTACGTACCTATCAGGTACTCAGAGGCGATTCAGTTTTTTAGGTCGGAGATATTGTTCAATGTCAAGTTATTAATCAAAGCTTTGTCACATGACATTTGAGTTTTTTGATTAGTCAATAGGCCAGAGATATATAAGTTATATATCTCTGGCCAGAGATATATAGAAAAATCTTTTTTTTTTATTTGAAAGCTTTGGATTTAAATAATATTCTGTATAATTTTTAACTTTATATCTTGCTTATTTAGCTTAATATAAATTTTCAAAAAGTGTCCACAATGCTTTGGTAGCCCCCTGTATATCAAATTTCTTCCCAAAAACAAAATACAATGTGAAGCAAGCCTCAGTACTGCAATTGCACTACATAAAGCTCTACAACCATATATCTACAACATATAAACATTTTCAGGTACTGCATTATATATTGACTTTTACCTTCTATCTAACAACAAACTCTAACTTATATTAATCGATCCAATCAGGATTACTAACAGTAACCATAAGATCATCCAAACTACATGGACAACTAACTTCAATCTCAAACTCCCAAGATCTAAGAAAAAAAAAAGAAAAATCTACCTCTACGAACAAATAAACTCTGGCTTGTGGCAAGATTTTCTCAAAGCAATAGAAAATGAGTTTTCAACTCTAAACATCTTATCTCCTCCTACAAACTATGAAAGCTTAACAAACACTAGAACAAATAGTCAAACACAATTAAGAAAATTGCCAATAAAAAAATATCAACAATTCTCAAATCATGAAAAACCTTTCATGCTTTCTCAGTAAAAACTACCAAGCTCTATATAGCACTCAAAACAATTAACAATATACTCTGAACTACCCGCATAATTTAACCTCCACTTTTACCTACTGTTGTAGTTCAGACTATTAATACCTTCCTCAATCAGATAAATGCTCTAACTAAAATACAAACAACTCCTTGTTAACCTACAGATCTAACATCAATCTATAGCCACTTTCTCATAGAATTAAAAAAATTGAAAAACACTATATAGAAAGCCCGAAGTATGAAAACAAAAGTAGCACAAAAAGAAAAAATAAACTTCTACATTTAACGATATTACAATGATATGGAAACAAACATCTTAAGAATAATTAATAGCATACTGATTCACAAAAAAGCAAACATCTCATATGATAAAATAATTACCTCTGATAAAATAATCACAGACCCTAAAGAAATAAAACAAGCAACAAGAGATTATTTCAACAACTGAACCAAGTCCAATTCAACAAATCTGAACTTCGAACACAAATGGACACCCTATTTGCAACATCTCACTAATATTTCACTACATATTTACAACAACCTCACACTACCTATAACCTACAATGAATTAATCCACTTAATTAATGCTGCCCCTACACATAAAGCCACAGGGCCATCTGGAATATCCAACAAAATGCTAAAATACCTACCTTATATTGCAATACCATCACTACTCCTAATCTTTAATGCATGTCTAGAATTAGAACAAACACTAAAAGGCTAGGGGATAGCAAATATATAGGCTATTTCAAAAAAACAACATTACAACAATGACTTAAACTACACATGCCCCATTATACTAATTGGATATGCACAAAAAATTTTCACAAATATACTAATACTTTGCTTAAGCCACATACTTAACAAGCACTAAATTCTTTTAAAAAACAACAATGTAGCTCTTCTATACATTTCAACTCTCTAACTTATTCAGATAGTAATGCATATTATTAAATATATAAATATTACTAACAAAGAATACTGGGTAAGGGTGTGGCGACTTAGTGAAGTGGTGGGGTTGCTGCACCCCCAAGCGGCAGGTCTAGAGTTCGAATCCCA